ATTTCGGCAGAAAGTCTCGTGCCCTTAATCCTCTCTGGTAAACGAGGACATAGATTTAAGGAGTGAACCCGGCGTGGGTGTGATGCTGGGGTCTCCGCAGGGTTCGTCTCGGGTTTCGGGAAATTCGGGACGGGTCCTGTCACCTGCTATGCTGGTGTGCTGGACCTTCTGGAGCATTTCATCAAGCAGTTTGTGGGCAATTTGCAGGGGTCAACATCTTCGCCTCCAATGGCGGAATCCAGGCTTGCAAGGGTCAGTTGACCCCTTTTGCCCCTATGTGGATCCGCCCTTGCTCCCGATAGTAGCAAAATGTCTTCTTTATCTTTGTTAATGTATGAATTACCCATTAGAATCCATCTCAAGAATTACTCAATAGAACCCAAATCGAACTCATCACACAGAACCCCTAAAATCGAAATTCCTTTAATCAAATTCTGTTTTTTTGTTTTTCAAATCAATTAGGAGCAGTACACATGATATTCCAAATTTTTTTAAAACCATTAAAAGTCTTGAGGAGTGATCTTCAAACTCATAAAAACCAGATCATAACTCATCCCAGAACCCCAAATTGAAGAACCATGGCCATATATTGAAAGAATCATAACCAATGATAGCATACCTCTTTTGCATAGATGGTGGGTCTGCCTCTTTAACTTGCGATCAATGGTGTAGGTCTTCTTCTTCAGCTTCATTTCTTTGCTCTGAACGTGCTTGCATCTTCTTCTTCATCTTCGTTCTTGCTCTAGGCTTGTTTGCCTAGGGTATCTTCTCAACGGAATATATACAGAGAGCTTCCGTTGATGGATCCCTCAAATAAGCTTATTTGAGGGACACCTTGTAGGGCCCACTCCCACTTCGCATAGTATTTCATTAATCCAAACCGTCTATTTTGTATAAATTCATTCAAAGATCATCTCTACATAAAATCACTTGAATTCAATATTATTTAACTACTCAATTAAATTATTGAAATATAAGTACTTTTTTGAAGTAACCGTGTTAATTGATTTTGTTTGTTTCAATTAGACGCCTTAATGATTTTCCATTTGCATGATTTTCTGCATGGATGATTTGTGAATGAAGACTTGCAAAATAGATGGTTTGGATCTTTGAAAAAAATATTCGTAGGGTACCCTAAAGGGCATCCCTCAAATAAAATTATTTTAAGGATCCCTCAATGGAAGGGGATTGTATATGTATGCTTGCTTTCAAGTCTTTGATTTCTTATTTTCTTTTCTTTGCTTTCAATTTTATCAATTGATATATATATAATTTAAAGCAAAGAAAAGAAAAGAAGAAATCAAAGACTTGAAAGCAAGTATACGAAGTGTTTGATAAAAATCTTGTGAATGCAATTAGGAGTGTTTCAATGGCATCGAGGCAATTCAAGGAGGAGAGAGCCGAGGCTGCGGCGGATGAATGGAGAGCAAGCCCCTTAGAACAGGATTGTTACCCTCAGATGACACTCTACAAAATCGATCTTCTTCTCCTCTCCACTCACCATTGAAGGAGCTGAGTACACCATACTACCAAACTATTTATTGAATTACTAATTTACCCTAATATATAATGACCAAAAAGGGTACGTTGAATTGTGAAACAAATGTAATTTTAATAAGTACATCATTCTTATCATATTCAACTCTAATAAAATGTAAACGAAAAATTCTACTCTCCAAAAGGTCTTTTATTCTCTGAGGCCATCCCATTATATATTCATACCCACTTAAAAGGGTTTAGGGTTTACAACGCCATGTTACGAATGTGCTAAAAGGTTTCTCATATCCTCCTGAAGTACCAATCGGCAAGCTTTCAGTTGCAATGCTAGGTATGCAATTTCGTTAATTAATTGGTCGCTTATTTCTTATTTGTGTATGCAGTTTAGAAATTGGTTAATCAAGAATCAAAGATGAATTTTTGTTTTATTTTTTCTTGTTTAAGTTGGAACATCTTTCACGTTCAACAGCTATTTCTAATTACAGTTGTTCCTTCATATTGGTCTGATAGTCTGGGGTTTGCTATGGAATGTTACGAGATGACCTCCCTGCTGCTACAAAAGTGGTTAATCTGTACAAAATAAAAAGGGTATCGGTAATATGAGGCTCTTTGGCAGCAAGGTGGGTTTGGTGGTCTGATAGTGTTCGACAGCCAGCTGAATGGGTTTGGTGTTGTGTGATAGAGTGTACCATGTGTATTTTTGGTGGTTAAATAAGGTGTACCTATGTTGTGAAAATAATCACTATTAGATTTGCTATGAGAGAAATCAACTGTGAGATAAAGTAGTTTGGCGTTTGGAAAACTTTTTATTAAAAATGTTGTTGGTACTGATTCCCATTTAAACCCTGCGCTTTTTCAAAACTGATTCCAGCCAAATCAAAAAATGAAAGCACCTCATTAGCTGTTTTCCCTTATATATTTCTTTCACAACAATTTTTAACAATAAGTGATTTTCTTATAGTCTACTAAGCAAGCTGGGTTTTCCAAAATTTTAAAAAATTATTACCCCAAATAAGCAATGTCAAACGGGTACTTAGATAATTTTATATTTTAATTTAAATATTATGGTATATTCAGTTATTTTTAGGATTCGTTTAATAACACCCTTAATTTATAATGTAATGGTATCGTATGACTCTGATAAGATGAGATATAAAAGGTTACCAAATTGTTGATTCCCTTTCTTATAATATAGTATTTGTATGAATTTCTTTTTGCTTATGTTAGGTCATTGAGCACCAAAGTATGATGGGAAAATTATAGAATGGTCTCAAAAGGATGGACTTTTGGGAGCAAATTCCTGGCCATTGAACTTTTTGTATGATTAACTTTAAAAAGCTGGTTTGGACCCATTTCAATTTAATAATAGAATATTTAAATAAACTTAAATTTTCCAACATTCATGAAGTTAATTGAGTATGAAATATTATTACATAACATAGTTTAAATATATTGCAATAAACATGATCATCAACTGAGATGCAAGCACGACATATATGAGCTGCCGGTGGGCCGCCTTGCCCAGGGGACCTAAAGCTGCACTCTGTCTATTATGGTGGTGCTCCATGGCATCGATAAGATTTAGGATCGGGTAATGCACGGCTAAGATCAGCTCCTCTCTTCTGTTGCAGTGGTGACGCATGACATTGACCATTGGTGGACCCAATGTAGGACTACTGTGGGCACTTGCCCACACTCACAAAAAAGTTGCAGCCATGTAATCCCACCTATACTCACATATTTTTATTTTTTCAGGTCCTTCTTAGGTGGAGCTCCTACATGGCCCATCCAATAAATACACTTTAAGCTCAAAGCTTATATTAAAAAAAAAAACCCTATGTTATAAAAGAAGAATAGAGATTTCCACCAAGTTCACTCATTCTGTTATTTTGTGGAGAACTCAGCCACCAAATTCACTTTAGACCCAAATATTTTTTATTTGGCTTTATATTGGTGGGATTATTTTTAAGCCCCTAGATCAACGAAAGTTTGGGTCCGCTATTGACATTGACGACCGAGGAATGCACAAGTAGGATGAGCTGTTGTCCTGTTGATGTCGGGCTGGAGTTGCTGGATTATCTGGCTGGAGCTATTGCTCTATCGGGTAGAGTTGGAGCTACTGGGCTACCGGGTCAGGCTAGAGCTACTAGACTACCACATAAAGAAACCTCTTATGAAAACGTAGTCCTTGAGACAGGCGGAGAATCAAAGATCAGTTAAGGGGAGAACGAAGAAAACACCATGCAACAATAAAAAAAATGGCCTAGCCACTTAACCTGAACACGGGAATAAGGCACAAGAGCATTCGTTGGATGCCAAGCCCACGAATGCTCCAAGAACACATAAGGAAGGCGTCCAGGAGACTCCACTGGGCTAGTCTCTATAGGTTTGTCAAGAAGGATACCAACATCATCCGGATTCGCAGTTCCCATTGCAGAGTAACCAGCCAAAACCCATAAAGATGGGTAAAAGGATGATACCCAACAACACTAGTTGCCAAAAACCTGGCCTAACACTGTGAAAAGGAGGATCAAAGCTATAGACCCTAGGTGAAGAGCCACCCAAGCCATATCTTTGGACAATGGCCATCTTCTCTTGAAGGTAAGGCTTGAGATTGCAGATCGGATGATGGAGGGGGCGTGAGGAAAACCACCTCCATCATGACTGCCGACCCCAACGAAGCAGCTTGCACCATGATCATTGTTGACTTGGAGACAGTCGGCACAATACACTACTACAAAAATTGAAATAGACGACGGTAATCCACCGTCGTGTATTTGGTTTTTCAACCGTCGTGAAATCGACCGACATCTTTTGATGCATAAAACCACGACGGTAAATCCCCGTCATCTATTATTTGTAAAGACGACGGTTTTACTAAAAACCGTCGTCTATTTGATGTAAAGACAACGGTTTTTGTGAAAAAACTGTCGTCTGTTTTATGTAAAGGCGACGGTTCTTTTTAAAGAACTATGTTTTATTATATCCAAAGACGTCGGTATTTGTTAAAAAGCGTCGTTGATTGTATATAAAAAAGACGTTATGGTGTAAAAATAGGTCATTGATAATATATACAGATGACTATTTTTCCAATAAAACCATCGTTTTATTATCTTTAAATCTGTCATCTAATAAGTTCACAAGCTGTTACATTTTAGTTTTTTGAAGAGTCAATAGTTATCACATAGTCAACCAATCTTTATTCTATTACATACATATTTCCTACCTATAATTGGAAATAACGGAGCTCAACATTAAAAATATCAGTCACAATAAAATAATTCATTGCATTAAACAAATATCAACATTCTTCCACCAAGTCTAGACATACATCTCTCTAAAAAACAAACCTAGATGACTCTACAACCCAGTCTAGATATGTCAATTGATCCAAAAACATAAAAATAAGATTCACCACAGTTGAATGACTGCAAGCTTCTGCTCTTCTGGTGGAACCTTCAAAAGCATACCTTCCCTTCTTCTGAGCCAAACTAGCAAGAAGAGTCAAATTTATCTTAGTATCCCGATCCTTTAAGTACTCTCCACTGGTAGATCCTTTAAATTAATACTCATCACTGCTTAAAATGAATATAAGACAAGATTTTAAGTTTAGTCAGGCCATGAGTGGAGAAACCAATGTTGTTACCACTAAACAGCAATGTACAAAGTCAGCAATCTTAAATTAATAACCAAAAATGAAATACAAGTCTCCTGTAACAAGAGAAGTCACATGAAAGTTTATGAGAAACAAGAGCACAATTGGATTTTTTTTTTTACTCTACTCTGTTAATAGGATTAAAATTTACTTACATGAGGATAAATAGAGATTGACAAAGATATCGATTGGCCAATAATCAGATGTACGTTTAAATGATTTCACCAAGCTGACAGGAAAAACATAATAAAAATAATAAGTCACCTGCAGCTAAATTATCACAAGTCCACTGCTAGATGAAAATACATCAAATATAAAAGTCCAGCTTCAATAAATTTTCACCTTTTCAATTCCACTTTGGAATTTGACTCAAAATAGTAAAGGGATAAATATAGGCATGCGAATTAAATGGCTTAATATATTAAACAAACAAAATATGGCTACAAATACCACACAAAGCAGTGGATAAAAAAATTGCAATAATCAGTGCAAGAATAAAAAAAAGTCAGAGAGCATAAGCTCACCAATAAGACTAAAGAAAAAGGCAGCATGAAGATGAAAACCAAACAGCCAGAGATCCAAGATTTCTTACCAGAGGAGCTCTGGCAAGTTAAGTGAAATGATCAGTCACAATAAAATGAGCAAGTAACCCATATTAATAGCATCATTGAGCAAATATCATTCAGACTTCAGAGTACTAGAGACTTCAAATGAGATAAATACCAAACAAGAACAAACCAAGAAACAAAAACCATAGAATTCTATAACCAGAATAGGAAAGGCAGTGGACCCATAATGTTAAAATCTTAAAGCATGTCATCATTTTCTATGAAAAACATACAAATTCTGAAAACTTGATAAGAAAGAAAGACATGCCCACTAAAGAAAATAACAAATCAATAAATTCCAATAAAATAGTGAGCATATATAACATACCTTCCCTTCTTCTGAACAATGCAGAAGCTTTTAGAACCAAACCCAAGGACCCTTCTACTATAGCCCCAGTTTGTAATGGAATTGCAAGGGGTTTTTTCAAAACTACAGTTACTATTCAAGTTAACCCCAAGACTGCAAGAAGCCATAGCCACAACCATTTTAAGCTTAAAAATTAACAAATGAAAAATCAGAGATTCAGAAAATTAACAATGAAATTCCAAAATAACTAAAGCAAACAACAAAAACAAGAAGTATTTTGGACCTGATGATGTTGTCGGTCCTCAAACGGATCTAGTGAGGGATGGGTCTGTTTTGCCTCATCTTCTTCGTCAGCTTCTTCTTGATTACGAAGGCCTTGTGGGACGGCTGTGCATATTTATAAAAAACCCAAATGAGAAACTCACTTAAATCCCACGAAATTAGCACAATACATGAACAAACATATATATATATATATATATATAAAGACCGATTTCCATAAGTCTTTCTGGATCGAGTCGCTGAGTTTGATGAGCAAGTTGAGTGCCTGAGAGCGAGATCTTCTTTGAAGAAAGTGAAGGTCGAGATCTTCACCACATCCAAACATCTCTTGATTCTCAGATCCAGAACCTCCCTCTCCATCTTGTGGATCTGTGAGCTAGAGAAAGAGACAACAAGAAAGAGAGCGTCGGCAAGAGAGGGCTTTCGAGAGAGCCAGAGTGAAGATAGCTAGAGAGTTAGCGCGATATTGAAACCAAGATGGCGACCTCAGTGACCTGGACGGCGAGATCTGTGACCTGGATGGCTCGATCTATGACTCGGATGGCGAGCTCGTAACCAAGATGGCGCAATGGAGATGGTGTTTGAGAGAGGGAGAGAGGGTTTTCTGAAAGGGTCGTGACAGTGAGTGTTTGAGAGAGAGAGAGCTGTACGTGAAAAGTTAGAACTTACATGAAATTTTTGTCCAGCGCGTTTAAAAAACACGACGGTATTAGAAATGAATGGTCGTAATTTGTATTTGCGCCTTTTAAAGCACAACGGTTCCTTTTGCAACCGTCGTAGATTTTCATAGTTTTTCAAAACATGACGTTTTTTAGTTTTACGGTCGTCTATTACGGGTCGTGTTTTTCCATAATTGTAGTAGTGATAGTAGGAGCAGACCCACTGAAACCACCATACCAAGGCAACCACCAGAGACATCGAGGCACCGAGGAGAAAGAGAACGACAAAACCAACGCCTAGGATTTGAGAGAGACAACAGACCTTCAATCAGACATAATTTATGCAAGTTTAAATTCTCTGTCAACCTTGATCAAAGAAAGTGGATACGTTCCTGATCATCAATTGGTTTTGCTTGACGAAGAAGGTTAGGTTGAAAGTGAGGTCATAATCTTCAGTTTTGCATACTGCTGAGGGTTGGGGACCTTTTAATGATCCCTAGGAACTTAAAAAGGCTCTGTGATGGGTTCCATTGATTATTGTGTCTGTCATTGTTGGAAAGGAAGAACATGAAAAATTTTGCCTCTTTTTTAGGCTTGATAAACAATTCCCTCGTGTATATTTGTTTTGAGAGTGTGTGACGTACATGAAAGAAAGCTTCCAGATATAGTTTCTCAAAAGAATGAAAGCATCAATTTCAAAAGATAGAGAAGGAGCAGTCAATTTAAGAAGTTTGGTTATTGAGTTTCAGACCAAATTGTATACTGAAGAAACTACAAAGAATTGGAGGGAGAGGGGTCGAACCTATTGCAAGAGATACTAGATGAACACTGTACTTCCCTGCAATATCAATGTATCCTGTGAATGGAAATACAAGCAGATTAGTAAATCAACGTGTGACGGGCATTATTCGATAAATACAACATGCAGTAAAGAGACCAAATGCTGGAACTAGAAATAATTTTCAAAATAATTTTCCTTTTAGAACGAGTACTGCAGACATTCATGAACTGCTATGGCACAGATGCAGAAGCCCAGGCTTGTATACACCCCCACACCCAAGCACGCATGCATACACTTAATCAAAAGTAATGTATTGACTTTAAAAAAATTATTAATAACCACTGGGCATCATACCAATAAATAAGACGTAAACATGACATTGAAACAAAACCAGTGAAAAGGTATGACTATCATTTTCTCACCCAGAGGGGCAGATTCATGTCAATCTGCCAATTTATAGTAATGTGAAAGCAAAATCCGAAAACACTTATCTACATACAAACCGATCAGGTCAGGCCAATGATCAATGTAATCTGTCTGCAATCCGAAAACACTTAAGCTGCATCTAAACATTACATAACTCATCACTCAGCACAACATAACACGAAGCGTTTAAACAGAAGCAAAATTATTAACTGTTTGCGCTGTTTGCTTTACCAAACTTGCCGTCAATGGCCTCAGTGATATTCTTAGCATTCAAACACTTGGGGCCATCTCGTATCCAAGTCATCTTCCCAGACGGTACGTGTAATATCAGAACAAATTTTCACACATCAGAAGTGAAAACCAAGCTGGCACACCATTGTTAGCATGAACTGATACTCTGAGAGCTACTTTACAACCTTGGTGGCCAAAACGACGCTCCTCGCTCCTCCCCTGACCCTGAGTCTGGGCTTGCTGAACCACTGGATACATTTCTGTAGAGTCGAAGAAATTGATGCCGGACAGGAAAGCTTGGTCGAGGAGGCCATACGACTCCGGAAACGTGTTTTGCTTGCCGAAAGTCATCGTCCCTGCGCGAAGAATGAATTTGTATTTGAGGATGAGAGGGAGGGCCAAAGAATCAGACTCAGAGTCGGTAAGATTGGGTGCGAGGTTGAAGAGAGGCACCGCCATTCCTTCGCCTGAGAAGCTCTTTGAGTTTGTCAACTGAGTGGAAAGGGAAGGAGAAAAATCAAAGTATCTGCTATATCGGCGCAAGTTTGGTGGATTTTCAGGGGTTGGATAAGATAAAAACAGAACCGAGTTACTATCTACGTGTTCGAAAAATTGTCCAACAAATAAATAAATTTTTAAAAAAAATCCGCCTAGGCGGCCTAGGCGGGTTGGGTCCTTGGTTTTTTTTTTTTTTTTTTCCTGACTTTAAATAAAACCTAGTCTTGGAGGGATATGGAGAGGAGGAGGAAGAGTTAGATTTAGAGGCCTAGCTTTGAATCAATGCCTGTTGAAGCAGATGCATCAGTGTGGAGAGCCTTGCTCATTGCTTGTCGACTTCATTCTGCCACGAAGTTAGCTGGAACCATATTTGAAAAACTTGTTGAATTAGAACCGATGAATGCGGGGAATTATGTTCTGATATCTAATATATATGCTGCAGCAGGTCTATGGATGGAGGTCAGGCAGATAAGAACACGGCTCAGGGAAAAGGGTTAGAAAAGTCTCCTGGAGTAAGTTGGATTGTTGTTAAAAGCCAGGTCCATTGTTTCGTTGCTGGAGACACATCACACCTTCAATCAGACATAATTTATGCAAGTTTAAATTCTCTGTCAACCTTGATCAAAGAAAGCGGATGCATTCCTGATCTTCGATTGGTTTTGCTTGATGAAGAGGGTTAGGTTGAAAGTGGGGTCATAATCTTCAATTTTGCACACTGCTGAGGGTTGGGAACCTTTTAATGATCACTAAGGACTCAAAAAGGCTTTGTGATGGGTTCCATTGATTAATGTGTCTGTCATTGTTGGAAGGGAAGAACATGAAGAATTTTGTATCATTTTAGGTCCCTGACCGGATTCTTTTTTAGGCTTGATAAATAATTCCATCGTGTATATTTGTATTGAGAGTCTGTGACATACATGAAAGAAAGCTTCCAGATATAGTTTCTCAAAAGAAAGAAAGCATCAATTTCAAAAGATGGAGGAGCAGTCAATTTAAGGAGTTTGGTTATTGATGAGTTTCAGACCAAATTGTACACTGATTGAAACATTGAACTGTATATACAATTCACAATGGCTCCAAGTCCCAGATGGATTTATAGTTACCTCAGGCAGAGCATAATTGTAATTTTTTTTTTCAAGAGAAATTATTTGAGTCAAAGGCTAATTCTTATAGCAATGATGCCACAAATCTCACAAAAAAACGCCAGTCTATCTCACTCCACAAAGATAATTACTAAATCAAAATTATCATTACGATTTTGTATTCAGCTAAAATTATCATTATGAATGTTTCGCAAAACACCGCCGTTACCAATAGTAACAGTCCCCAATTCAAGACTTGGATTTAGGGTTTGGAGGCTAAAATCCATTTTTAGAATACAAAAATAATTTTCTAGGATTTATAAATAATTGAAACTATTTTAAAATTTCACCAAATTATTTAAGATAATTAAATATATTTAATTACTATTTATGAAGGAAATTCAAATTTTAAATACTAATTATTCACTAAATAAATAATAATTAAAACATAATATATTTAAAGAGTATAGCCGGGAGGCTATAGGCTATACTCTTTAAATATTAGAATATATTAAAGGAGTAGAGCCGCGCGGTAATACTGGAATATTTTCGTATAGCCGTGCGGCTACATTCTTAAAATATATTGAACTATTTAAAAGTATAACCGAGCGGCTATACTCTTTAAATATATGATGTTTTAATATTTTTTATTTAGTGAAGAATTAGTATGTAAATATTCTAATTAATTTCATAAATTACTTCATAACTAGTAATTAATTTTGTGGAATTTAAAATTATTTATAAATCCTAGAAAATTATTTTAGTATTTGAAGTTCCTACATATCAAAAGATGAGATGAACAATTTGAAAATTGACCTCTAAAAAGATTCAACCGAGCATCTGCAGGGGCCCCATTAAGTCTCCAAACCAGAGTCCTAACGTGGACAAGAACATGAAGAAACTATAAAGAATTGGAGGGAGAGGTGTCGAACCTACTGCAAGAGATACTAGATGAACACTGTACTGCCCTGCAATATTAGAACAAAATTTCACACATCAGAAGTGAAAACCAATCTGGCACAAAATTGTTAGCATGAACTGATACTTTCATAGCTACTTTACAACCTTGGTGGCCAAAACGACGCTCCTCGCTCCTCCCCTGACCTGAGTCTGGGCTCGCTGAACCACTGGATACATTTCTGTAGAGTCGAAGAAATTGATGCCGGACAGGAAAGCTTGGTCGAGGAGGACAAACGACTCCGGAAACATGTTTTGCTTGCCGAAGGTCATCGTCCCTGCGAAGAATGAATTTATAGTTCCAGCATTTGGTCTCTTTACTGCATGGACGAAAGTCATCCTCAAATAAGACTCAGAGTCGGTAAGATTGGGGGCGAGGTTGAAGAGATGCACCGCCATTGGTTCGCCTAGGAAGCTCCTTGAGTTTCTCAACCGAGTGGAACGGGAAGGAGAAAAATCCAAGTATCTGCTATATCGGCGCAAGTTCGGTGGATTTTCAGGGGTTGGATAAGATAAAAACATAACCGAGTTACTATCTATGTGTTCGAAAAATCGTCCAACAAATAAATTTTTTAAATAAAAAAAAATCCGCCTAGGCGGGCTAGGCGGGTTGGGTCCTTTTTTAAAAAAATATTTTTATTTTATTTATTTTTGCCTGACTTTAAATAAAACCTAGTCTTGGAGATTTAGAGTCCTAGCGTTTCATTTCAAGTATTTTTCTTTGTAGTAACTTTTTCCCATGTTTTATATCAATTATGATTTTTTATAATTTATATATCCTTTTATTTTGCATGATTTCGGTATGAATTTATAATTTATAATACAAAATAATAATTTTTTTTAAAAAAAAAACGCCTAGGCCAGATTACTCTTCTAGCTGCTAGGCCCCTGCCTACCGCCTAGTGATTTTTCGAACATTGCTATCTACATCTATAAAATTCCTCATTGCACCACATAATTGATACACAATATTTATTTACTAAAAATCACCCTCAAATCAAATTATTTTTACATTGACAACTATTTC